TACAGAGAAATGGACCTTGTCACTGTCTCATTCCATTCAATAATCAGCAGCCACCCCGAAGCTCGTCTGAATTACTGGTAATAGAGCATCATTCAGGCTGTGATCCCAGCTAATGCCTATGCTGTGTATGTGTTTGTGTGTCTGTCTGTCTATGTGTGTGTGTGTCTGTCTGTCTGTCTGTCTGTCTGTCTGTCTATATCTGTGTGACTGTGTATGTGGTGGGTATGTGTGTCTGCCAGCTCCTCTTGGCTACGTCTCCAACTTCAGGATAACATCCTATACCAGCAGCTCCATGAGTGTGGAGTGGAGTCCCATCGTAGGAGCTACAGAGTACAAACTCACCTGGAGCTCCCGGAAAGGTAAATGTACCTATACTGTGCTGTGACCCACCCGTACAGACTCACCTGTACTGACTCACCTGTATAGACTCACCTGTACTGCGCTGTGATGGTGAGAGGCTAATATATTTTAGTCATTTTACTTTTATTGCATAACAGCCAAACACCATTATGAAATAGTCACCTCCCTGTTCTATGATGCTTTGTTTATTGGAAGCTTCCCGAACACGTTGCCTGTCCTGCCCCGTCTTGGAGAACGGATGTTCCTGTTGTTACAGGTGGCACTATCGAGACGCAGAACCGGTATCTGGACCACAGCATCCTGTTCTACCGCATTGATGCGCTGGACCCAGCAACACCATACACTGTCAGTATCCGTGCGATGTATGGCAACACGGAGGGGCCAGAGATGTCGCTGTCTCAGCATACAGGTGAGATGATGGCCGGGCCGCCTTGTGGTCACCTTCATCATGCTGAGCATGATTCCGTTCAAACGTCTCTCAGTTCTGAAGTGTCTGTACAGTTGACCCACCCTCCTGCGTTTGGGACCCAGAACCTTCTGCTTAATTTTCATTTAAATTCTGCTTAAAGGTAAAATTACGCAATGTGTTCAGGTCTGTTTCCTGCCCGCTGCCCATCTTTACACAGTGTGTTCAGGTCTGTTTCCTGCCTGCTGCCCATCTTTACACAGTGTGTTCAGGTCTGTTTCCTGCCCGCTGCCCATCTTTACACAGTGTGTTCAGGTCTGTTTCCCGTCCGCTGCCCATCTTTACACAGTGTGTTCAGGTCTGTTTCCTGCCCGCTGCCCATCTTTACACAGTGTGTTCAGGTCTGTTTCCCGTCCGCTGCCCATCTTTACACAATATGTTCAGGTCCATTTCCCACCCACTGCCTGTCTTTATGCAGCACGTTCGGATCCATTTTCCTCCCACTGCTTGTCTTGCCTTGAAAGAGCAGCACAGTTTCAAGCAAAGCTGGACTGGCCGGTGAGAACAGGCTGTCACCTTGGGGAAGGCTCATCTGGATGTGTGACTGGCAGTGGCTGTGATTAACCCGCCTGTCCTGAACGACGCCGCTCCGCCTCGGTTTCTAACCTCGGAGCTGCCCATCAGCTCAACAGCAGCGCATCTTGTTGCTCCGCCTCTGCCGGGGGAGGTGTGCTCTGATGGATTCATGCCGACAGGAACATGGAGCATACAGATCCGTCCCAATGGAAAGACAATCGCAAGGGCCAGCCGTGCCTCATGTACAGTGGGAGCTCAGTTGCGGTGTTCTTCAGCAGTCAGTCTGTCATGTATTGAGTTCCATGATGTCCTGGTGTCCTCTTCCAAGACTTCCTGATGTTCTCTCCAGGGGCTTCCTGGTGTCCTCTTCCAAGGCTTCCTAGCATCCTTTTCCAAGGCTTCTTGGCATCTTCTTGCGAGGCTTCCCAGTGTCATCTCCAAGGGCTTCCTGACGCCCTCTCTGGGGGCTTCCTGGTGCTCTCTCCAGGGGTTTCCTCATTTCCTCTCCAGGGGCTTCCTGTTTTCCTTTTCCATGATGCCCAGGTGCCTTGTTCAGCCTGGTAAGTTGCTGTGTCGTGTCAGCTTCCCTCACAGATGAGGAACCGATCCAGATGGTGAAGGAGGTGAAGGTGATAGATGTGGGTGTCAATTCCTTTGGGCTTGCTTGGAAAAAGGGCCCGACTGTTACAGGCTACAAGATCTCCTGGATCCCCTTCCTCGGTGGGTGCCACCTTCCAGCTGCCCTGTCTGCGTTATCTGCCCCAGTCTCTCCATAACAGTTCACCTTCTGTAACCCTCCCCTTTGTACTGTGCTCTTCACCTACCCTTCGTGCCTCATTCCTGCCTCCAACTTATTATGCTTAGTTATTAATACTCCCTCCTCCAGGTGGCATTCAGAAGACCCAACTAGTTCCTCCCGCCAGCTCCTCTTTCACCATTTCGGGCCTGCAGGCAGGTTCTGCCTACAAGATCCAGGTGTCAGCTGTGGCTGGTTCCAAAGAGGGCAGCCCCATCCTGCTCACAGCTCGCACCTGTGAGTCCACCTGTCACCTTGACACACCCGGCCGTGTTGAACATGTACTCACCTGTCTCACCCAGATGCATGATGGGATTGAACTGCCAGCAGGCTGGTAACAGCTGCATCTGGGTGCCTCATATATAGATCTAGATCAGTTGTGCTGGTTTGTGTTCTCTTGAATTTGTTTCCAACCCACCTACCATGACAAGGCCCAGAGCTGATCTGATAAACGCTGATGGTTTCCTAAAGCCAGGCTCCTCCCCACTAGAACGTCATGTGAAAGTCAGGTCTGTCACATGACATAGGCACGGCCACTAATGGCCACTTATACCGATGCTGATGCATTAAAGGAACAGACAGTTAATGAAAGGTCAAAAGTAGCGAGCGTACCCTGTCTGTGCCTCAGTGGATCTCCCCAAGGTGACGGAGTTCCAGCTGGTGGAGGCCCCCGACAGCGGCATGCTGTTGAACTGGACCAGCATCCCCGGGGCTTCTGGGTACCTGCTGTCCTGGAGACTCATGTCAGGTGCGTGATGTGCCAGCACTTCGCTGAGAATGACACCCAGTTACAAGCAGCAGCACTCAATTATGCTCAAACATGCAAGACTGCCCCCAAGTAATTATTTACTACTGTAGCCAAATACACTGCGAAAAAGCAGAGGGAGATTCGGGATCGGATGTTATTACAAGACTGATTATACAGACTGAGGCACTAGGGCTTGGCATATCATTTGTTATCCTCTGTGGTTCTGAAGCTGGCTGTCTTTCCAGCGGGGTGAATTTGCACATGTCTTCAGCTAGGCCGGGGATGTGGTAATTTAATGATGCTGTCCTTTGAGGAATGCGGGATGCAGCTATCTTTAGAAGCTTGTCTTTTTCCTTAACGACCAAAGACGTGTCAGAGTTGGGCTTGATCCTCCTTTCTTTCTCTGTTCCCGTTTAATGGTTCATCCCTCTGTAGTGGAAATAACAGCAGTGTTTGTGTTGATGCCGTTGGTCTCCTGGCAGGGTCTTCTGTGGGGGGGGGGCAGTTTGTCTGGCCAGGGTGAGGGGAAAGCTACTCCTCAGTATGTCTTTGAGGAGACCAGACCAGGATGTGGGAAGTTCTGTGTGTGTGTGTGTGTGAGTGTGTGTGTGTGTGTGTGCGAGCGGGTGACTAATATCTGTTTTTTTCCCTTATGGGGACCAGTTTCCTGGTCCCCATAAGGGAAAACTATATTATAAAAATCGGTGACTGCTATGAAAAAACTATTTTGTTTGGTTACTTATGGTTATGGTTAGGGCAGGGTAGGGGTTAAGGTTTGTCATAGTTAGCGTTAGCATTTTTCCCATAGAAGTGAATGAGCGGCCCCCATAGGGATAGGTACTGTATACCTGACGTGTGTGTGTTCGCAAATGTGTCTTTATAATGATGAATCCCTTTGTTCTTGCAAACTGAAAGCGCGTGGCAGTTGTTCCTAATTAGCGCAGGTAAGACCCCACCAATCCCATAAAAGGGCATGAGACTGCAGGGCCGTGTGCACACAGACATCTCACACATGCAGCATATTCAGGATAGTCAGTAGGGAAAATAACACAAAGAAAGATGCATGCCATACTATTACATGTTCAGTAATGATTGTTAAAAGTGATGATTAATTAATAACTATCAAAGGGCACAAAAGTAATATTTTACCAGTAATAATAATTTAATAATTATTTAGGCCCATTACTAAAAATGCAAAATGAACAGCACTGAACAGTTACTGTGAGAAATGCGAGATTCCAAGGTTACAGAGACAGCTAACATGGCTGTGGATGATTGCATACCCAAGCCAAGACTTATAATACTATCTATCACTAATATTTATATATGCAATTTTTGCGCAGTCTGAATCATTTTCAGCATTGTTATTTACTTACAGATCATCTGCAAGTTTCTGTGACCTTTTATCAAGTTCCAAAAATATTTATGTTTAATTGCTCATGGTCAACTCAAAAATATAGGAAACTGTGATTTTCAAGAGTGCGAATGCTTATATTATTAATAATAAAAATATTATTGTCATTAAAATCTTATACTGTAGAATTGAAGAAAACACAGAGAACTATTATTTTGCACATATTTGTCAGCACTCACATGTGTGTAATTGTGCTCTTGAGTGTGTAAAGATTCTGTTCTTACCTAAGAAGGAATCCAAAATAACAAGACACTGATGAATGTCAGAATCTTTGTGAAACTGAGTAAGAAGAAATTTTATAAGAGTGGTTGGTGAATGCGGCCAATTGATCTCAGAGTGCTACACGTGCTTATATTCAGTACAAACTCAGCACCAATAATCGAGAGCATTAAGAATGTCATTCATCAGTTTTTTGTTTAAATCAATCGTAGGCATACAGACATCAAAATTATCCACTTCCCACATAGGGAAACTCAATTTTCTAAAAATATGTGACTGCAATCAAAAAGTTTAAAATGCCAGTGTTGTGTTTTGCATGGCTACTTATGGTTAGGGTTGGGTAGAGGTTAAGGTTGTCATAGTTAGCATTAGCATTTTTCCCATAGAAATGAATGGAAGGTCCCCACAAAGATATGAATGCAAACCTGTATGTATTGTCTGTGTGTGAAAATCCTCAAATACGCACAGACACATGCACACACATAACCGTATGCCATATTTTTAGGAAATTTGCTGGATAGCATTAAAGTTCTTAAGATTACTCATCTAATACAAACACATCACACAGTCTTCTCTCTTTCTGCTGGAGCTTTCCTGCTACCTGGGGTTTTCTTGGTCTCGGTATCCTCTCCGTATCTGTTTTTTTTTAGGAGTTTATGCCTTTGTCTGGATATTTGCACACAAACACAGAAAGAACACAAGCAAACAGTTAAATCTTTGCTTTGTGTTCACAGAGCTGAACTCCACCAGTGAGAATCTTGGGCCATCCGTTACTTCATATAAAATCAGCAGCCTGCAACATGGCAGGACCTACATATTCGCAATCCGACCCCTCTATGGAGGAGTGGAAGGGCCCGTGACCTCACTTCGTCAGAGGATATGTAAGACATACCATTGTATGCGTGGGGGGAACATTTTCCCCTTATTCTGTAACAGTGTTTGGTATTAGAGATAAATAGTGATAGTATGGTATCTTTAAAGCATGTTCCCATTGTATAGTGATGGTGGACCCACCTGCAGGGCCAGTCCACGTTGCACGTGCCCCTGCTGCCTCAGAGATTGTCACAACCTCACAGCCTGTCACTAAAAAAGCACTTGTTCCTGACGCCAAAGCGACCCATGGCTCAGACACCCAGAAGGCATACAGAAAACCCAACCTGTTCACGGCCAAAGAGGTGGCAGTGCTTACGAACAGGGACACTTCCCCAGCAGGGAGGACGACTACAACGACGGCCACGCCGTCTGGCCCCAGTATGTCCCAGCATGCACCACTCTCAGTGAGGCAGACATCTGGCTTGTAAAGACTGTGAGGCTCATGAAATACAGCAAACACCTGTGTTTGTCAGTCTGTGGTCAGGTCAAAGCTGACATCGTTTTCCTGGTGGATGAGTCTTCGAGTATTGGGTCCGGCAACTTTGCCAAGCTGAAGGACTTCCTGTTCCGTGTGGTGACATACTTCCCTGTCATCGGTCCCCTGGGAACGCAGGCAAGTTCCTAAGCCGATTAATCTCATGCATTGAATTCATCACATCCATTACTGCTTCCCTCCTGTTCCCCCCCTTTCTGGAATCTTCCTTCTGTTCTGCTGCTTACCAGTCAAACCTGGTACCAGGCACACTGAAATGGCTTTAATCCTGCAAAAGTCCCCACACATGCATAGCCTCACAGATATTAAGAGCTTTCAGCTTCAAGGTTGTCTTGTGGTTTTCCACTCTAATTTATGTGCGTAATATTCAACCATAATAGAGGGGCTTGTCCTGAGCTTCTGACTGACTCTGCTTCCTCTGCAGGTGGCCGTGGTCCATTACAGTGACGAGCCCCGGATCGAGTTCCACTTGAATGACTTCAGGGACCGCAGTTCCATCCTGAGAGCTCTGAGGGGGGTGCGCTACGGGGGAGGCAACACCAAAACAGGTACACACGTTCTTACGGCTGCAATGAGAAAAGCAGTTTCTTACACAGACAGCCAAAGTCAGCCCCTCTCTGGCACCACCTGCAGGACGGGGCATCAGCTATGTGCTGAAGGAGCTGTTCCAGGAGTCGCTGGGCATGAGGCAGGATGTGGCTCATGTGCTGGTGCTGATCACGGATGGCAGAGCCCAGGATGACGTAGAGCTGCCCTCACGGGTGGCCCGTGCCCTCGGTCAGTGTCCCTTTGCCGGGGCTTATCTGTGAGCCATCATTTTTCCCCAGAATGCTCTGCGTGGTCCTTCACACTATCTGATGCAGCCTCCATCATCTCCCAGGCGTCAGTGTCTTGGCCTTAGGTGTGGCCAGAGCAGACATGGAGGAGCTGAGGAAGATTGCCCTTCCCACCACCTACAAGAACCTCTTCTATGCTGAAACCTTTGAAGACATTGCCTCCATGGAGCGGGAGTTCATCAGCAGCCTTTGCAGTCAGGCATTGCAGCTGGAGTACAAACTGCAGGATGAGGTAAGCCCCAGGGTCAAAGGTGGGTGGGGTCAAGAGCGGGGCAAGGTCAAGAATGGGTGGGGTCAAGAGCAGGGCAGGGTCAAGAGTGGGCGGAGTCAAAAGTGGGTGGGGTCAAGAGCAGGACGGGGACAAGAGTGGGTGGGGTCAAGAGTGGGTGTGGTCAAGAGCAGGACAGGCCAAGAGTGGGTGGGGTCAAGAGCAGGGCAGGGTCAAGAGTGGGTGTGGTCAAGAGCAGGACAGGCCAAGAGTGGGTGGGGTCAAGAGCAGGGCAGGCCAAGAGTGGGTGGGGTCAAGAGCAGGACAGGCCAAGAGTGGGTGTGGTCAAGAGCAGGACAGGCCAAGAGTGGGTGTGGTCAAGAGCAGGACAGGCCAAGA